CCGCTGCTCACCCCTAAATACATAGATAGATATATACATAGATTACATTGCCATCTTTCTCTCCCTCTCTCTCTACACATATATATATATATATATACATATATTTGTATTTATATAGAATGGAAGGGATTCATAGTGAGGGGATTCATAGTGAGGAATTGTTAAATTATTTTTATATAAAATAATAAAACAAATAAAAAAATATAAAAAATTAAACATTGATATTTAAAAAAAAAAATCTCAATATATAAAAAATAAAAAAAATAAAAAAATTTCTAATCCTCTCACTATTTTTCTAATACCATCTCTATCTCTTCCTTACCAATCTCCCTTCCAAGGGGACTACTAATACTAAGGGATTAATAGTTCCCTCCCCATCTCTCAAAACAAACACCCTATTACTAATACCAAAGGATTAATAATCTCAATCCTCTCCCTATAACCCCAAATAAACAGGGCCTTTATATATACATGTTCATTTTTGAAGTGGTAATTCTTCAGTCATAGATCTGGGTATTCTATTGGTTCCTCAATCTAACATTTTCATTAAAGACCAATTAACCCAAATCAAAAGTAAAAACCCAAACAAAAACCTAAAGAGTAATGGTAGGGACACCAAATTTTCTACCAAACAAATGAACAAATAACCAACCCCTGATTTTTGCTCTCTAATTGTACTTCAATACATGAACTCCATGATTTTTACGCTGTTCATCATCTGAGTGTTTCGGATGATGATGTTGATGAATCCAAAATAATTTTATAATTCCAAAAACATGATGTTGATTCCAAAAATATATATATCTATATATGTATATGATTCCAGAAAATAAATATATAATGATGTATATGTATATGAAGGTATATATGTTTGTATAAAATATATATACATATATATATTTTGCTCTGAAAATATAACTAAATTTAAATTAGGTTGAAAAAGTTAGGAATTGAATAAATAATTAGGAAGTTAATGATAATTTGTGATTTAATTAAATTAATTTTTGATGGAAATTATGTTCAAATTAATTTGTTAAATCAAAACCCTAATTTCACATGTTGAAATTCTAAATTCTCTCCACATAACCCTTACTTTTCTCAAATGCATTAAATGAGAAATGATAAACAAGAGTTATATGTATAGTCTTCAAAAAAAAAAAAAAAAAACAAGAGCAAAATAGTCTTTTTACTTTTACCTTTAATGGTGTTAACTGTGCACTTCAATTCAGTAATCACGGAAGGGTTATACGGTGATTTTCAAATATTATGAGAGTAATCTGCACCCAACTCAAATCACATGGGATAAAATAAAATTTGCACTATAATTATTCATTTTAATAACATCAAATGCATAGGGTTTGAAACGGTAAAGAATTAGAAATGCGACAATGGAGGGGGGGCTTTGGTAAATTGACATTAATGTCAGATTTTAGATTTAAAAAATAAAATATTTGAGGATAATTTGATCGATTCAATTACTTTATTAGCGTTGTTACATTGAACGGAAGTTTATACAATTTTGTTTAAATTATAGAACTAAGTGTATTTTTTTTCAAATCTTAGAAGATATGAGTATAATTAATCTTAATTATTAAAATAAAATAGATGACAAATATAATTTACAAACTGGACAATTCATTTTTTTGAAAAAAATAATAAAATCATGACAAAGATTTATCATATCAATTTCAAATTTTCTTTTTATAAAAAAATTAAATGATCTACGCACATAATTCAATCAGACAAACAATATAAATAATCGAAATAAAATTTAGGATGACCGACGATCCCAACACCTTCCAGTCTAGTGTGAACCGAGACAATGATGGGGTTGCAATTAGCAGGTGAGTTAGCCCTCATTAATGAACTTGTGGGGTCAATGCAAAATGATTATGTCTATATGTTTCTTATGTTGTTAATTTTAATGTTGCATTAGATATATAACCATGGCAAACATGTTTAGTTCAAATCCCTATATAAGATTATGATTAAGATGCATCAACCAAATTGATAAGTATGAAATGATTGCTTCCAATGTACAGGATACATAAACATAAAATACACATAGAAAATGTATACAAAATGATGTAATAAAGTCACTTTAAAACCGTCCCAAAAAAAGAAGAAGAAAAAACACAAACAAACAAAATATCAAGAGTTCATTAATATATATATATAAAAAAAAAAAAAAATTTTTTTTTATTTTTTTTGTTTAAAAAAAAAAAAAAAAAAAACATATTGTATACTCTTAAACATTTCAACAATTTCGAAAATTACATGATTATGCCAAATCCATTTAACAACAACTTTGCATACTCATGTGACTCTTAAAATTAAAGCATTATTCCTAAAACATTTGTGAGCTTCTTGCACCGAAGCTTTTGTTGAGCACCATAGACACTTTACAATATCATTAATAAGAAGTTAAGTATCTAACACATTCAAAGTGATATCCAAACAGTCCTATATATGTGCTTTTCAATTTTGATTCTTTTATAAACATTTTCCACACAAATACTCAGTTAACCAATGAAAAAAGAAATGAATTAGGTCGTCTTAGTTGTCCTGATCTTATGAACTAGGTTGTCTTGGTTTCCCTGATCTTATGACTTCTACAAAAAAATCATCAATACAAACTTTAAAAAGTCGACTAATAGTTGAAAAGTTTCATTCTCCGTTCTTTCTTGAGGTCACTCTAAAACTTGGACTAAGTCGACTAATAGTTAAAAGTTTCATTCCCTAATCTTTGAGGTCACTCTAGAACGTAGATCGAGTAAGTATATATATGAGATGAGGGACTATATTAATCATATTAGCAATGAGAGAAGGATCCCTCTCTCTCTCTCTCTCTTATGTAGATATAATATATTAGCAAGATTAGGTAAGCACTTAAATGAAAATAGACTTCTAGACTTACCTACTCTAACTATATGTTTGCAATCGCTAACTCTCTTTACACAAAAAACTTTCAACTTCCTCAATACATTAGTCAATCCAAACCTAAGTATTTTGAGCTATCCTAGCTACTTTTGAGCTAACTTCACAATGTTTAAGTAGATTTCACACTCACAGTCACAATCGCAATCACACAATGTTTAGTAAATTTCATAATCACAATTTTCATGGGCACTTGGTTTAGTAGAGGCAAAAACTTGTTGGCGCAATGGAAACTCTCATATCAATTGTTAATATAAAATCAAACACATAGTAATAATATAAAATCATTGATGGATTATGTAGGAAGAGAAAAAGCACAAACAAAATTATATTCTTTATTAAATTTACATAAAATTTAGACCACATATTAATGTACAATCAACCACTACTATCCTAATCAAATCAGGAAACTAAGCAGCTAATCAAAATAATTCTAAAAATATAATAATTCAAGAACATAAAAATACCCTGAAATAGGCTATATAATATGGACGAATGTTATGAAATATCATTTTGTACTAGGTCATCCATGCTAGTACATACCGTAGTATAAAGAGAGTTGAGTTTTGTTCTAGTCAATTTTTTTAAGTTGAACCGAATATACTAGTATGTCCTGAGTCATATCGACCAATTTTTGACTGTATCGACCAGTACTTGTATAAACTGGAATAATAGTAATTAGTGCTATGTAAAAACTAAAAAAAGAGAACTAGAAGTTAAAATTTAAAATATACATGTATTTACAAGTGAGTCGAGTAAATGTTTATAAAAACGATTAATATACCTGAATATTTAAATAATTTATTCAAAATGTACTCAGTAAAGTTTATAAATTATTTTGGATGTACTCTTCAAAATGTTGAGTACTAAAAAGTAATATACTTTGTAAGAATTTATCATACATCATGTTAACAAATCATATTACTTTTTTTGTGCATTCTATACAATCAAATGTTACAGACTAATTAAATACTTATAATGGTATATTTTATGAAAGTAAAAGTTCTATTTTTGCAAAAAATTAAAAGATAAAAATTAATAAATAATCAATACATTTCGTAATGTTGATTTTTATTTATTTTATATAAAGAATTATAAATCCAGAACAATTGACAAATATATAATATTTATAGCAATAGTACTGAAATGATACACTGAAGTGCACTGGTATCTTCTTTTTTCTTTTCTTTTTTTCATAAGCTGATTAGTATTATATTAACAACATTGATATGGATCCAAAAAATAATTAAACTTGATTTAATCTCCAACATAATATGTCCTTTCAAATAAAAGGGAATTTGTCTATAATAATACAGGTGTTAGAAGAAATGGATTGACAGTTGAATTTGGTTGCCAACAACCCACGTGAGCTTTGACGACTTAAACCCCTGCCAAGTCTGTTTTAAGCACATCATAAACAAATCAAAAACATAGTCTTCAGGCAGGTTGTGAAATGAGCATGATGATAGTGACTGGAACAGTTTGATGGACACTTTGAACAAGGAAATTTAGAATTAAGGTAATAAGGTTGCTGCTATAGTTATATTAATTTTCAACTTCTTTGGTGAAATGATTTTAATGAATCTAATTTTTTTATCGGTATGAGATTATAAACAAATATGATAAGAATCACATCAAATCAGACACTCATGATCCAACAACACACATCTAAAAGCTTAATAACCAACACAAGAAAGAGTTCTTCTTGATAAGAAACAAACAACTCAAAGCGCAATCACTTTGTGCAAAATATGTCGAAAGTTATTTATGTACCTAATCTACCTCTCCTTGATCTATGGAGTGGGGGCCTAAGGTCAGCGTACTTTAGATATTCCAACTTAGTGGTTCAATGAAACCACTGGGGTTAGCTCAATGATCAAAACTCATGTTCCTCACTAAGGAGGTTACAAGTTCAACCCCATCCCAGTCTCCCCACACAAAAAAAAAAAAAAACTTGTTATTAGTTTGTGATGGCTAATATCTAGCACAACAAATAGGAAAGGCAATAGTAAAGATGACCAAACTTCAAATCGTATTACCAAAAGTATCATACAAAAAACATGTAGTCCAATTTGAAATTTACTTGTGTTCATTAAAATAGAAAAGCTGATTAAAGGCATAAAAGAGTCAAAGAAAGAAAGGAAGAAAAAGACTTGAATGAAAGCTAAAGAAAGTAAAGCTCAATCATCAAACAATGCAGAATAGTTGGAGCAAATTGTATCTGAAACAAAGTTATTTATAGCAATGAATAATTCAGAACCAGAATAATTCACAAATGTTACCTCAACATTCCCATCTCCATTCTGCTACAATGGTTCCAAACCTTCTGCTTAGCATCCTTGATTCTCTAGAACCCCCAAGTATTAACTTTTGTTGACTTCAATCCATATCAGCATAACTGCGATAGGTGCTCTGTTCTCATCCCATCAGCAAAAATCCAAGATTTCCCTCTCTTAAAAATTTCATTCAATTAGGATCCCAGTGGTATGGACCCAAAAGTCTGTTTTACATGTTCAAGAAATGTTCAACCTGAAATGTTTATATTCCTTTACATGAAAGAAATTATAAACTTGTGTCGGAGAGTGAGTGTGTGTGTGTGTGAGTCCCTAACCTCAGAAGATGCTGATAATTTTAGATATTTGAGAATACAATACTGCATGATAATCCAAGCTGATCCCTTCAAACGGCAACAAACATTAATTAATTCAAATGGCCGTATCCTATGTTGAACAGAGGGTGTGTGTTTCAAGTGTACAAAAAAAAGTTCAAACTAAAGGTCTTTTGACTACATAAAACATCTACCAGTTATTGCAAAGAAATATTGATATACCGATAATACGTAAAAGAAAGATAACAAATCCAATAGAGCAACTGACCTATCTGTAACCTGTCTCCGCATATCATAAATTTTGATCTATCCATAACTTGTCTCCTGATATCATAAGTTTTCTTAATATTTGAATTTCTAAAATTGTTGTGAAGAACAGAAATTAGGATGCTTGTCCATTTTGCAAGTTCCATGAGGTTATGGTACATAGCTCTAGCCTTAATGGTTTAGTTTGTTTAAAAGGTGTTTATCTTATGCATCAGTCTAAAATTAGGAGTTTCTCATCAATTTAAAATAAGAGTTTGCTATTAAGGGAATTTACTAGACCAATCATAACACAATGAATGATAGTTAAAAACTGAAACCACATTGTTTCCAACTTACCATAGAGTTTATCCAATGGCATCATGATGACTGTCAAATCTTCCGGGTGTACTGAACATCTAATTGCTATAGAAAGCACAATGTTTGTAGCCATACGAATTTGGGGAAATTGCAAATCAGTGGAAAGAACTGAAAGTAATTATAGAAAGTTGGAGGTGCAAGTGGAGTATGTGTTCTGGCGCAAGGCTACAGTTTTCATCTGCACTAGAGCACAGGACCGCTTGCACCACCACCTTTTTACAATTATTTTCACTTTGTTCCACTGATTTGAAATTCACCCAAAAAATTTTGAGGTCAACCAAACATACCATTCTCATTACCAGGGATGCAACTTGATTTTCTACAATCAGAGATCCTGATTTTGATGCTAGCTCATCTGATAGAAAGAATTGCATTTATGAAAGGCCTCTACACAATATGTTTTCATAGTTGTGACAACTCTGAACTTAAAACACATAAATGTTCTTGCTAGCGTGAGTTACCATTATCAATAACAGAAGCAAACCTTCAAAAAAAATCACATGAGAATTAATCTGTGTTACTTTCTATGTTTGGCCAACCTTGTTCAGCCTGTGACTTTACAAATTCAGCCAACAGTTTGATCTCCTCTTCTTGTAGACGGGCTCCAAATGTGCATTGGCCCCTCGGTGTACAGTTCTCACCAAAGCCCTGTAGAAAACAAATATGTTATCTTCAACCACATAGACAATCCATCGTAAATATGGAAATTTCTGCAGAAACCATACCGGCATTCTTCCTTTGCCATAGTAAGTAACACGAAAAATTTCCTCTTCTGTGTCAACTTCATTTCTGCATTCGTATCAAGTATTCCTCAGCAGATGTCACAAAAGATAAGAGCATAGTCCCCTATATAGTAATTATTTGCCAAAACTGTGACATTATTGTGTGTTTGGGCAAGCATTTGATACCCAAAATCAATCAAGTAGTTAACTGTGATAACCAGAATAATTGGATTCTCCCTCTCTCAACAGGCCCTTGTTAGGGTACCATTTGGGACTAAACTGTTTAGGGAACCACAGGCAAAACTCTCCCGTTCCCAAGGTTACAGGACTTTGATATACCCCAAAAAATGTCATGCACTCAGGATAGGCAATTAAACTAATTACTACACTGTAAGCAATACATGACTGAGTTTGTGCTAAATTACCTCTGTAGATCTTTCAAAAAGAGTGTTGCACCCTAGGAAGAAAGGAAGCTGTGGATTAGAGAAGAAGTAACATGTTTGCAATGTTTGTCATCTGGGATTTTATGAGTTAAGGGACTCTCACTGGCTGTATTATGTTTCCACCTCCATCATGACAACCAATACAAGATCGACCGAACAATGTGGCTCCTCTTTGTATATCAATGGCTTGTCCTAGTGACACTGCAACATTGAAATAAGACAGAAAAATTTTATAAAAATAAAAAGGCAAAACTTGGATTCCAAGTTATACGAGCAGCATTAATAAAAGGGAACCTTCTGTTAGCATATTATATTAGCCGAAAGTGTTAGCATATTTTATTAGCCGAAAGTTACACTAGGGTCTGTAATCATTTTATGCCCTCAAGGATCATCTTGTAATTGTGTTTCTTGTAAACCCTAATCTTCATTTATAAATAGAGGGTGATATTCTATCATACCCCAAGCTGGTTACCCAAGCTTCATGGTATCAGAGCTTCACCTCTAGGGTTAGGATTCAAAACATACCTAGTTGGATCATCTGCTGGGTCGATCTTCAGCCACCGTCGTCATTCTGCTTCGTCTTCGTCTCCGTCTCAGCTTCGTCACTCGTCGATCTCAGCTCCTCAGCTCGTCGATCAGCTCCTCAGCTCGTCGATCTCAGCTCCTCCAGCGGTTCGTCGCTCGTCTCCATCGCCCTCGTCGTCCTCTGTCGTCTTCGTCACTCATCCCCTTCGTCGCTCGTCTCCACCCCCCCTCGTCGTCCTCTGATCTCTCACCCAGGTATATATAACTATATATATCTATCCTGATATATATATAAATCTAGCCTAATATATATATTTATATATAAATACATGTATACATAAATAAATCAATATATATATAATAAAAAAAAAAAACAAACAAACAAACAAACAAACAAAAAGAAAAAAACAAAACAAAACAAAAATGGTTTCTTAATTTTGTTATGTCTTTATAGTGGTCATTGTGCCTGTTATCTCACTACCACCTTCCGGGTTTGTGATTGCCACTAGTTTTGTTGCGGGTTCGGTAGTATTGTATCCATGACAGATTCCACCAGTGTGTCCCCTTCTTCTCAAACACCAAAGAGTGAGAGTCCCATTCTACCTACTACCATGACTGAGAACCCCAACCCTAGTCTGAAAATCACCACCTCTCTATTTAATGGTCAAAACTACCTAGCATGGTCTCAAAGTTTG